ACGACGGCATGCTGTTTGGAGACCCGCATGACCCCCAGTACCAGGAGGTGAAGGCGAACATCAACAGTCGTTTCAACATCAAGCACTGGAAGGAAGGCAACGACAAGGAGGCAGTCGCCTATCTCGGTGAGGAGTGGTGGCGCCACCCCGATCACATCGAGATCAGCATGCACGAATACATCGGCAAGCTGACAAAGAACCCCCTTGCAAGGGGTGACGACGAGGAGCGGGAGATGACTCTCGAAGAGCACCACGACTTCCGGAGCCTGCTCCAGAAGGTGCGGTGGCCTGTCGCACGCGTGGTGCCCCAGCTCGCGCATAGTGTCTCGGCGCTTGCACAGAAGGATCCGAAAGGTCGGAGGTTACTGCACCTGCGAGTGCTCAATGACATCATCGACCGGCTTCAGGACAACGACAAGAGAGGTCTTGCGACTCTCCGGATCCGTTGCGTGGACATCGAGCGCTTGCAGGTGCTCGCGCTTATGGACGCTTCGTTTGCGAAGGAACCCGGCTGTAAGAGCCAGATGGGGTTCATGAGTATGATTACGGATACCCGAGTGTTGAAGGAGCTAACTGTATGCTGTCTAGTGGAGTTTCAGAGCAGTACTATTACACGAGTTGTTGGATCTACAATGGCCGCAGAGTCTGCGGCTATGTCCGTGGCTTTGGATCGGCAGCTTTACCTCAGGCTGCTGATTGAGGCAATCTTGCACGGGGAGCCGCCCTTGCAAGGGGACTGGAGGCTGGCGCTGAAGGTTCCAGGGGCGCTCGTGACGGATGCGAAGTCGCTCCTACGATCACACGTCCAAGATCGGCTCGATGCCGGTGTCTCGGCAGACCCTCATTGACTTGTTGGTGGCCAAGGATTTGATAGAGCAGGAGGCCATCAAGTTCAAGTGGCTGCCCAATAGCCACATGTTAGCGGACGTGCTGACAAAGGCCGTGCATCCTAACGAGGTGCTATCGCAGTTCCTCCGCCACGGACTGTTCAGCATGGTGCCTACTGCTGAGCAAGAGGATGAGGAGGCACACCGTCTGCGGCTGCGCCGCGGACAGCGTGAGAGAGCCAAGGAGCGGAAGGCCCAGCGTCGGGTCGCCGTTCCAGGGCCTGCGAGCCCGTGAGGTCCTGATTGCAGCCGCTGATGGACCTAGTGAGGGCTACGGTGATGTATGCATATCTTTTGAGTTGACAGTCTGGATTAGTGAATCTAGACATTCATATTTTATATTTATATTTTGAGCCTCAGGCCGCATTTGCTTGAGGTGTTTCGGCCTGTGGGCTGATATACATTATAATTGCGTGCAGCGTTTCCCTTTCGAAGGGAGCGGCATCGGGGCAGCATTGTACTCACCCAGTGTGAAGAGTGCACTCCCCTGCCCCTCTGCCGCCCGTGTCACCGTGTGTGCATGATATACACGCTTGTCTTGTTTTGTGGCATGCACGCTGCCCGCCGCTGTTTTGGCCCTAGTCCTAGGGCCCTGGGACGCACCCGCAGTTTTGACTGCCGCGCAGTCCGAGCTAAAAGAACTGCACTGACACTACGCAGTGCCATGGCGGCAAGCCTGGCTTAGCTTCATCTACTCCTCACGTGTAGGCCTGTGACTGTTCATTGATGTCGTACATCACACATCCCCGTCCGTCCTCCCGCTTCTTCCCTCCACCCCCTGGTCCCGATGCCAATCCTCCCCATCGTTGTCCATCCTCTTTATCCTCGGCCTCTGTTCTGCCAGTCGTTCGTGGGCAACAGAACGCATGCCTGACAGGCCACCGAGCGGCGCGCGGCGCTCGCTATAGCCCTCCTGCTCGATGGGGGTTGCTGCCCACATGCAGGTGGTCGCAGGGCAGCTGTAGTCAAGAAGGCAACGTGATGTTCATGAACACCTGCGCAAACAAGTTCGTGTGCCAACTCATCTTGGCGTCGGTCACAAGCGCCAGGATGCCAAACTTCATGACGACCTTGAACCGTGCATAGGTTGGCACTACTCCGTGGCCAGCCATGGACATCGGAATTCAAGCAGTGAATTTCACGAACCGCCGCTTGCGTAAACGGCTACAATCTGGGAATTGCGAGCGTGGCAATGGACAGCGCGCAGAACCGAATCATCTGCGCAGTGGGGGTGAACTTGACATCAATGAGGCCTTCCTGTGACAATGATCCTCCATCCTGCGAACCATCGTGAATCCAGGTGGCCGAGGGCCACTCCCGCAGGAGCCCAGAAAGCAACGCCGACAAAAGGAAACTCAACAGTTTCTGGCATCCACGTGCGTGTGCATCTTCAGCCACCTGGCGCGTGAACGGAATACCCGTTATCTTGCCGATCATGTTTTTCCGTACCCGCGTGGTCCACTTCTGCTCAATGCCACGCTTGGTTTGCGGGTGGTCGTTTGAGCGTTGTTGGCCAAATGTGAGGATACCATTGCATGCATACGATACTCGGCCTTGTAAGGTTTTTCCGTCGCCACTTGTGTGTCGTAAAGTTTTAGGTCCCTCTTCACTCG